GGAGAGAGAGAGAGAGACACACACACACAGAAAAAACAAAAAAGAGAGAAAAAAACAACACAGACAAACGGAGAGAGAAAGAGAAACAAACAAACAAAAAAAAAAAAAGAAAGAGAGAAAGAAACAAAAAAAGACAAACGGAAAAAGAGACAAAAACAAACAAAAAACATACAAAAAGAAACAAACAAACAAACACATACAAAAAAAGAGAAACACAAAAAAAAAAACAAAAAAAAAAAAGAGAGAAAAAACCACAACCAAACAGAAAGAGAGAAAAGACACAAAAAAAAAAACAGACATAAAAAAGAAAAAAAAAACACACACACAGACAAACAAAAAGAAAGATAAAACACAAAAACATACAAAAAGAGAAAGAAAGAAAAACACAAAAAGACATACAGAAAGAAACAAACACACACACACATAAAAAGAGAGAAAAAAAAAAAAAAAACACACATACAAAGAGAGAGAGACACACACACATACAGAGAGAGAGACACACACACACAGACATACAAAGAGAGAGAGACACACACACACACAGACATACAAAGAGAGAGAGAGACACACAGACATACAGAGAGAGAGAGAGACACACACACACACAGACATACAAAGAGAGAGACACACACACACAGACATACGGAGAGAGAGAGAGACACAAAGACATACAGAGAGAGAGAGAGAGAGACACATAGACATACAGAGAGAGAGAGAGAGAGAGACACATAGACATACAGAGAGAGAGAGAGACACACAGACATACAGAGAGAGAGAGAGAGAGAGAGAGAGAGACACACATAGACATACAGAGAGAGAGAGACACATAGACATACAGAGAGAGAGAGAGAGAGACACATAGACACACAGACATACAGAGAGAGAGAGAGAGAGACATAGACATACAGAGAGAGAGAGAGAGAGAGAGACACATAGACATACAGAGAGAGAGAGAGAGAGAGAGAGACATAGACACACAGACATACAGAGAGAGAGAGAGAGAGAGAGAGACACACATAGACATACAGAGAGAGAGAGAGACACATAGACATACAGAGAGAGAGAGAGAGAGAGAGACACATAGACACACAGACATACAGAGAGAGAGAGAGAGAGAGAGAGACACATAGACATACAGAAAGAGAGAGAGAGAGAGACACACATAGACATACAGAGAGAGAGAGAGAGAGAGACACATAGACATACAGAGAGAGAGAGAGAGAGACCTCTGTATCACCTGTATTAATCAATTGTGAAGCCTGTGGACGGTGTCTTGAGCCTAGCTAGTGTAGTCCCTATGAACTGTACAGTTGGCAACATTAGTCTCCCTATGGACTACCCATATAAACACTAGCTCACTTCTGATTGGTAGACCTTGAGCCACGTAACCTGAGCACAAGGTTACGGGGGTTTTCCACAATGCCGTCGATATCGCGTGTTGTATTTTTTATCATACCAGCACTTTAACACTATAAAAACATGGACAAACTGGGTCTAACACAACTCCTCTAGAGAGTGCTGCAAACTATGTCACATATATTTTCTTTCTCGGAATAAAAAGTAAATGCAAGACAACCCAGAAAGCAAACAACAAAGTGGCACACCTGTAGCCTGTGGGAAAGTAGACCAGCCTAACAAACTTATGAATGAATCGTGACCTATTTTGTTTGGGGAGACTAACTTAAACCTAACCGACTAAGACTTGTTTTAAGCTTTGAAGTTAATATATCCATAAACTGGGAATAAAAAGTAAATTCAAGACAACACAGAAAGCAAACAACAAAGCGGCACACCTGTAGCCTGTGGGAAAGAAGACCAGCCTAACAAACTTGTGAATGAAATGTGACCTACTTTGTTTGGGGAGATTAACTTAAACCAAACCGACTAAGACTTGTTTTAAGCTTTGAAGTAAATATATCCATAGACTGTGGGGCTGTGTGGTCTCGAAGTATGGTGTCCGCCTCGAGTGCTAGAGGTTCCGGGTTCAATTCCCGGTGAGGGCTGGGATTATCTCAAGTGGACTTGGACTTCTAGTAATTTCCCCTGGTCTCTGGGTAGTGAGACCAGATGCCCGTGTGCATTGTTGCACACATAAAATATCCCTTGGCAGTTGGACATTTAAAAAAAGTAGCCAATCGGCGATGCCCGGGAAAAATTTCGAGTTAAAAATCTACCCAAGGTATTTCAGGATCCTCGCCGGTGCTACAGAGCCTGTGCACTTTTTCAGACTCAGACTTGAGTCAGAAGAAGAACGGAGCACATATGGGTTACCATGTGCCATGATGTTGATCCATTGTTCAAACCTCAAACCTTCATAGACTACATGAATAAGAAATTGGAAAATGACATGCAATGATAAAAATAAATTATTGGCTATTATGATCACGTCATGGCAAAAAATACAATATTTCAAATGTATTCAAGAAATCCTCAGAAATGTATTAACTTTTTTTTTTAAATCTAAAACTAAATTCCACATCGATCTACATAATAATATTCACAGTACACATAAAAAAAACAAGAAGCAAATACTTAAGGTAATAATAAACAATTCATATTTTAAAAATATTTTTTACAATTATTTGATAAACAATTGCTGTCAACACATACACAGCCTGTTAGCAACTGCCGTGGCGGCATAGTGATTAGTAGCCTTGCTTGCTAAAACAATGTTCTGGGTTCAATGCTCAGCAGTTGGAGTATGGTTTTTAATTACCAAAACTCATCAATGGTATGTAATAAAATTTATTTAAAATAATGACCTGCAGTTTGTAGCTATTGCAATTTTTCCAGAGTCAACCCAGCCTACAGTACTATGGCTTGGTCAATCCAATCTACAACACTAGGATAGACCCAGCCTATATCTTGGTCAACCCAGCCTGCAGCACTGTGGTTTGGTCAATCCTATCTACAACACTAGGATCAACCCAGCCTATATCTTGGTCAACCCAGCCTGCAGCACTGTGGTCAACCTAGTCTATGTTTCAGTCATCTCAGCCTACAGCATGAGGGTCAACCCAGGATATCTTCCAGTCAGTCCAGCCTACAACTAGGATCAACCCAGCCTACAGCACTATGCCTGACCCAGCTTATGGCTTGCTCAGCAATAGCTAACAATAGGAGGGGCAACCTATCTTACAACAAGAGCATAAACCCATCCTACAGAACTATGCTCAACCTATGGCTAGCTCAACTCAGCCTACAGCATGTGGGTCAACCCGGCCTGCAGCACTATGGTCAAATTCAGCCTATGAATCTATAGTCGACCTAGACAAATCAACACTTAAGGGGTAATGTGATCATAACTGTACCTGTCACCTTTATGTCCAGGAATATTTCCTGGTACCCATTGTTATACTGAGTTGACCTGGGAGGCCAGCTCAGTTTTAAAAAGCAGTCTAAATAAGGATTCAAACTATGACTACTGCACCATAAAGCAAGCATGTTAGCCACTAATGGTAGAGACATTAGGACATACTCTATGTTGAATTACAGACGGGTAGAAGATACAGAGGTCAGCCTCTAACACGATTTAAAGATTCCTGCAAGCAGGACATGAACTAAAACAGGTTGTGAGACAGATTCATCAGAACAAAATTCCATGTACCATCTTTAGTGGAAGGGGGAAATCAGGAAGGCTGTGGGAATAAAGAGTAAAAAATGATTGTAGAAAGGCTCAGAGCTGAGCAGCTGAGCAGAAGCACACTAAACACATGTGAGGCAGTAATTGTGACTCCATGAACACGCTTCAGAAGATAGCAACAGGCGGCATGCACTCTGAATTGGTAGAAAGCATTTGAAGTTCCTTCACCTGCATCTACACTCCTGGTCATGCTGGCCTAAAGGGTAATGAGCGAGTGGACCATCTGGCAAGCAATGCACCTATGCATGTGGGAAAAAACATGGTCAGAGCAGGTATTATCAACGCTGTATGAACTGGGCTAGTGAATATTGACAAATATATGACACTAATATGATTGCGTGACATGGGAGTAAAGCAAGTGAAGCATGTCTAGGCCACCTTCAAGGCCGAGATAGGAGACATTATTATAACCAACCTCTCATGGGAACAATTAGTATAAGTACCTTGGAGTGGCTGCTGCATCTGAGGACTGAGCATGCATAGGAATGCCCAATGTGCAGCGATGTGGATTGTGATAACACAACATAACATACATGTGATGGTATCAAGGTTTCAAAATGTCATGCTCTCATTGTGGAAGACTTTACCTAACAACACCATGGCCTGTGATTCCCATGTCTTGCCATTGCACAGTTCAAGACTATTGTCTGGATAGGCAGGAAGGTGCCATTAGTTTAATATCCTAAAAGCTGCCTCCTGTTTTTCTGCCTCGTTGCCGTATCTGTTGTGTGTGCGCATGTATATCTCTAGGTACGAAATTGTAATCTATGCTTTTGTACTTTTAATTTACATTTCATACTATGAGTATTTTGATATATTAACATAAAATGCTTGGTATATAAAGTACAATTTGCAATTGAAAAATGAGTGTTTGAAAGGGCCTGCATGCCCAATTTTGACCTTTTGGAAGTTCGTTCGTTCGTTTGTTCGTTCACACTAAACCAATGATAAAAAAAAATTTGTTATGTTTTCCTCTTGGATTGCAGTCTTAAAGGCTTATCCAGTGAGCCCAAGAGCTACTTTTTAGATGTGAATCCAACATGAGCAGATCCTAACTAGAACATGTGTGTTTTCTGACACCATTTTGGAGAGAAAAGACCCACTGCCCCTCAACAAGCATGTTCTGAAAGGCAATTAATGAAGGTTTTGTGGATATCAGATGTGTTGGGCTGCAAGTTGCAGTTATCACAGCCCTATCATGGGCAAATAAACAAAAAGCTGGAGGAGGAGGCAAAGAAGAAGAATAAGAAGAAACCTCAGAAATCCTGTTAAAACCATTCAAAAACTTCTATACTGATGTACCCACTGTTACAAAGCAACCTGATGTCCTGATGATTTGAAGCCCTTGAAGAAAATGTTACAGATCATAACAAGCACATGTCCTGTCCCCAGACCCAAACCCACAATTTCTACAAAGCTGGGCCTGGACACCAGAAGAACCAGCTATGAACGTACATAGCACACACTTTTTGTGGCCATACTTGAAACTGTGTCTTGAGCACACTCTTGCCCCAATGGATGTGCTCCCCATGCACAGGGATCCACACAGAACACAGCACCTTTTGTTTTGCCAGGTGCATGCTGGGTTGTAGCCTCTGTGACTGAGGGAACATCTCTGACAGAGCATCATAGCAGCAGTGGATGCCATACTTTCCTGTGCCATCATGTGACATCTGGTTTTCTGAAAACAGCGGTCAGAGGTAATGAGGTATACATGATGAACAACCTTAAAGACTTGATGACCAATTTACACAATGTATAATCTGTTTAAAATCAACACTGATCACTGGCATCATAAGGGCTAGTAGACTGAAATGCCTGAGGCATATTGAGAGAATGTCAGATGACAGAAGTAAGAAATTGTATGCAACAGAGTTAATGGCTGTTGACCATGAAGCAGATTAAGAAGATTGTGGAGATATACTATACAGGCAACCTGCACATACTTGGAGTTTCCAGCAGAAAGGGAGGACATCACAGAGATGATTGGGGGTGGGTGATACCTGCAGCAATCACCCTCAATGGCTAAGAAAGCTGAAGAAGAAAATTAGAAAGCACACACCCTATGTGGGTTCCAGGGCCCCATTTGGGAAGGGGGGGGGGGGGACAGACCTAGTGCCCTTAAGTATGTAGTAAATGGTGAGTAATTAAAGACTTGCTGAAATCAGATGTACAAGGTTGAAAGGTGCAGATATTGCAGCCTAGCTGTGGGTGACAGTAGTGTGCTAGCCATCACTATTTTAAGGGTGAACGCAAAAGAAGGACGAGTTTTTCTAGAGAAATAAATAAGAAAAGCATTGTGCAAAGAATTTACCTGAAGAGAAAAGAAAAACAAACATCACTAATGTCCTATTAAACTCCAGGGGCCAGAATAAAGGCAACAATGATGATAAATTGATATTTATTTCCTATATTTTCAAACATTAATGACAGGCAGTGTGTTAATAAAATTCACATTCAACAAGGAACATATCAAATTCTTTCTCCAGATCTCACTTTTTTTTCTTTTTGAGATGGAGAGATAAACATATGATCTACGTCGTAACTGCCTTTACAAAAATAAACATACCTCAACATTTCATTTACCTTTGCAAAAGAACTTCTTGACCAAGGATTGATATGTGTGTATGAGTCCGGATCTTTCCGTAAGAAATCCACCAACCTGTTTAATAAATGTAACTCTTGATCAGTGTCAGAGACCTGCTAACTGCCAGCAAAGGCAAACAGCTTGTTGGCAGCTGCATAACAGAAACGTCTATCCTTAAACACAACTAAACCAACACCGTCAGTACATACACATCAGCCTTTAGAGTAATTTACAACAAGCAGTTGGTAGTTCACCCCCAGAATTGGCTCGCTAACCCTACCCCTACCAGCCAGAGTGCTTTACAGTCGCCACTCACACACTGGCCATCCATTTGTTCACAGGCATTAATTAAGTCTGAACCAACAGCCTCCAATCCAAGCTCTTTTCTACGCTTCTGCATCTTACATTGTGACTGCTACACTACTGCACGGCTATGGATAGTTTCAGTGGGCAGCCATGTCACTGCACTCAGTCGGTTCGGTACTAGGCCCACAAACTCATTATATTCTTCTTCTTAAACTGACAAATCCTTTTTTGCAAACCACCTCGCTAACACGCACAGCTAAGTACCTGAATGAAAACCACTATAATTAAACACAATGAACTATCTCTCTATAACATGGGTGTTCCCCTCCCTCCTAACACCTGAATTATAATTACCATCAATCTAGAACGTTATTACAACCTAACCGTTTCTAATTTGGTCAAACACGCAAACATCTAATGATCAAAATACCACAAGTTTCCATCCAAGTCTTGCTAACAAACTCCTTGATAACCACTGTTTAGTCCTCTTTTGTCAAGTCTAATGTTTACCGTGAACTCAGGACATGCCTCAGTGAATCCTAGAGTTTCCACACCTCCACCACGCTTTCCTAGTCAGAAACTCCTATGAGCTATTGAACACTGAGTTGCTAAACGGTTATCTAAGTACTAGTCCATCATTAATTATCATTACCTACAGTAGTCCCATAGCAACACAGGCTCTTGTCAATAGTAAAAGTAAGTAAAAGTAAGGGGCCCTTTTCCACGCCTTTAGGCGAATAGGGCATATAGGGCTAGACCTATATTTTTATAGACCAGTCGGTACAAGATGGGTGATGTTGTCAGCATCAGCCGGCCGCCTTTACTTTCCCGGGACTGCACCTGGTACCCACTCAAGGCTGGGTCGACCTGGGAGCCAAGGTCATTTTTGAAATAAGTCCGGCTCCGCCAGGGAGCGAACCCACGACCTTCCGATCTTCGGCGAGCGTCTAGCCGCTCGGCCACGGCGACTTCTTGTCAATGAGGCTTAATTAATATTTGTTGCTTAGATGTGAGAAGTTGTTCCTGAATGTTGAATGTTTTGTGGTCATACCTACTTCTTTTTCTATTTCTACCTCACATATGACATCATGTGTTATCAACTGACACAGGAAAAAAAATGTCTCTGCAGATGTGAATGCACTTTCACAATTCTGGCATACCTTGGTTTGAAGTCAGCAGCAAATAATTTGATATTAGACCACTCTGTGTTGATTTTAACAATGATGTGTTCGGATAGCAATGGAAACCAATTGTAAAACTGCCTAGAATAATGACAACAGCCAATAAATGCTAGGACTGGTTTGTGAGCTACTGTAACAGATAGGCAGCATATTGAGAAAAACTATCAACCTGTTCAAGTATCCTTTCCTTTACTGGAACTGTCAAAACTGGCTAACTGGTGTCTCAGCTTGTAATATTTGCATAGTTAAGCTGTAGTTTGAGATGGCACAGAAACATTTCTTTTTAAAGTCAGTCTCAATTAAATAATTTAGTAGCCAGGTTTTGAGGAATTTCCCATTCTTCTTTGCAAGGTCACACGCATGCTGCTGAAACATTTATTTAACATATTTCACAATCAAATAGTTTTTTACTTTATCTAAAGGAGCATGACCAACAAAAATTCTTTCTCTAGTCAAAATAAGGTATTCTTGCAAATTATTTAAAACCAATATTAATAGATGTAGTTTACATAAAAATGTTGAAACTGCCTATCTACTGGGTAAAAGACACAAGAAAGCAGTGTATGTGTGTGGAAGGGGGGGGGGGGGGTATTCTCAACCCCTCCCTTCGCCTTGCAAAAATTTGGGTGGGGGGGGGGAGAGGGGGCCTCAGGGCTCCTGAGATCAATAATTTGGTAAAAATAAGAGATCCCATTTAACCATGTACACAAATATAATGTATATCATTATACTGATTTGTCATTCAAGATATTATTATAATTATAATAATAATAAATAAATATAATAATATACTTCAAATAATATGAAATTTATAAATTAATACTTTTAAAGGAAAATATCCAAGTATTGGGACAGCTAGCCCCCCTCTTACAGCATAAGACAATCCCAATCAGCACAAAGAGACATCTTATTCAAAGCATATTTATTCCAACTCTGTGCTACCAGTGCCAGACATGGTCACTCACAACAAACCATAAAAGAAAATTAGTAACCACGGAAATGAGATGTCTGAGAAGGGCTGTAGGAGTGACCATAAGAGATAAGATCAGGAATGAGATCATAAGAGAACAAGTCGGCACAGAACCAATTCTGGATTACATACAAAGACAGCAAGTGAAATGGTTTGCCCACTTAGAGAGAATGCCTTGTGACACCATACCATACAAAGCATACATGGAAAGAGAAGAAGGACGTAGAGCACGGGGTAGACCAAGAACAAGATGGAAGGATAACATCAGAGAAACTCTACAACAGCACAATGTGCCTATGGTCGAGGCAGCCAGAAGAGCTAGAAAGAGAACCTTATATCTCCCTCGACACCCACAGCGGTAAAAGAGGAAGTGAAGAAGAAGAAGAAGAAGTGTCTATCAAGAACTATCTTTTTATTCTGAGTCTATATATATCTATACATGGTTTTAGGGGGCATTTTAGTTCTCTTACAAAAATATTGTGGAGAGAGTCTCCTGTAAAAAATATATTGTGGGGGAAAGCTAGGAGCCTGTGCCTTTAAGTTTTGGTGGATATGATTGTAGAAATACTAGGATGTAGAACAAGGGTGCCAGAACATGGGAGCTGAGGTGGCATGAGATCATCTCCTTTCCTCCAAGGTATGATGTAGCTGCCACCCCCCAACTCCACTAACTATGTGCAGAAACTCTCTATTTAAGAGTTAATTTATATATATAATTCTATTTCAAATATACTATTATGTTTATTTGCTTTTCAGCTATTATTATTAGAACCTTAAAGAAGGTATAGATTCCTTGAGGACCCCCTGCTGAACATTTGTAAGAGGGGATGCGAGCATCCCCTAGCCTCCCCCCCCAGTGTTTTATTTGTATCCACAGCCCTTATGTAGAAACACTGTAATGGGATAACACATCACTAGAGTAGATACATTCAGCATACCTTTGCTTGAGCCTAGCAGACTCCAGGTGGTATGGAAGGTGGTATGCCTTTGTCCTGGGATCATCACACCAAAACTGGTAGTAATCAGCCAGAAGAGTGTGCCATTTTGTGACTTCATCCCAGGAAGTTAGCAAGTGACTTTGTACTGCCTGAAACAAAAGTAAACGTTGAAATACTTTAAAGTATTTTGATGAAATTTTAAAACAAAAATGTGTTTCCCCACAGTGAATTTAATAGTTCAGAAATAAACAGTATATTATAAAATATATTTCCCTGCATATTTCACTGTGTCTCGTCAGGTGCATTACTAAAGAGTTACATCAACATATAATGAAGCATAAAAACTGAATTCTGTCCACTGAAACACACAAATCACAGTCTATCTCATTAAATGAATGAAGATCTCTTAAGTGTGTCAAGACCAACCAAGACAAAAGAATCCAGCTTTTCAATAAGACATCATTTGCTTGAGTCTAGACACATAATCGATAAGGACGGTTAAATCTGTGTTATTTAATACACCCCGAACAGGAGATTGCTGAAGCTGGGGGAAGCTTTAATAATAAATATGAGCAGATCAGGAGCATATCAAGGATTTTTTGTACAGGGAATCTGGGTATGCCGGGTAATGAGTGGGCTGATAGGCTGGCTGCAAACACTCCTCTGAGTGTTGAGGTACTTTTATAATAAGATGAAGACTCTCTGGAATCAAGTGGAATGAGCAATATTATAGACAGAGTATCCATTCACACACACATACACACACAAACTGATTCATCAGGGGGTAGGCAGAGGTTCTGGATGATTTTCAAAGCAGAGAGGAAAGCATAGGCGGACATTTAATCAGGTTGCTGCTAACATTATTAGCTTTGGACATTTTCACTGGCTACAGAGGAAAGAAACGAAAACATGTGTTGGAATGTCCCGAGTTCAGCGATGTCAATTTGTTAATCACTCATTCAAAGGTAAGAGAACGTATGGTACAATCAATAAGATTAAACTGAAACAGCCATTAACACATCAGGAGTGGTTGGGGCAGAAAGAGCTCAGGAAACAATAACTAGAAAGAGAATAAGAAAAACAACATATAATAATCGACAAAGGTAAGACTATGTCTGCTTTGAAAATTATAGTGAACAGAAAAATACTTGAGCAAGTCTATATTTTTTCTTTTCTTGGACAATTAATAACATATGGTGGCAGGTGTGAAGCAGAAATGAGAAAGAGAACCGGAATCATTAGAGTTAATATTTCAAAAACAAGAAAAACTTCTCAAATCTAAACAGTTTATATACTGAATTAACTCTTTTAGTCCCAGAGGGTTTAGCATCACAGGCCCAAGGGGTAGTCAGAAGAGACTTAAAATCGGCGCATCATGCGTTCATTGGGCTTCTAGGCAGTAACCTATGAACGCATGATGCGTTCCTTGGGACTCAAAGAGTTAACAGCGATCATGAGTTCCATGTGCTATTCATTATTATTGAGTCTTCCTCTTTTACCCCTTCAGGTTATTTCTTATCCACACTGACATCCTAGCACATTGGTCCAACCCATCCATGCTCCCTCCTCTGATGCAGCAGCCATCTCAACCCTTCAGGTGTTGAGGGAGATGAAAGGTTTTGCTCTGCTTCTGCGGATTATCTCATTTTATTCTTTTTAGCAATAATAAATTCACAATGCACATGTCAGACCTGTTGCAACTTCACCAGAGCTCCATTAGTGATGATGTTTCAGGGTGACCCTGAATGGAATTCATGGCTACAGTTGTGGCCCCATGGCGTAAGGCAATAGGAGACTGCTCAATCCTAGCAATTTCTTACTTTTTCCTGTTTACCTATCAGATGGGATTATTAAGTTCCATCTTCACAATGAAGGTTGGCTGCAGTAGATTTCAAGCACTTTCTTTTTCTTACCCTGGGTAACTTTGGAACTTTTATTCATCCATCTCTTAGTGTTATCTCTTATCTTGTACTGCTGTACATCTCTTGCACGTTTGTTTATTGTTACTTATTATCCGTATCAACATCCTAACATATAGGCACGACCCATTCATGCACAGTACTCTGATGCAGCGGCCATCTTAGTATATCTTCTGTCTTTGCCCCACTACCAGTTTCTACATGCTTGTTCCCATTGAATGCTCATTTCCAAAGGTAGTTCAACATCTCTGACTCCTTTATGCCTCTGGCACATTTGTCATAACCTATTTTCCATGGCAGAAGAGTCTCATGCCTTTGAATGTATCTGACATATTTTTTTCTCTCAAACATCCTCTTTTAGAATAGTTTTTTTTCTTTTTCAGAATGTATTTCATTTATTTTGTTGTAGAAAAAAAAAAAATGAATGAGCAATGTAAAGAGGAAAATTCTGGTCTATGAAAAATATACCTAACATGCCCTTAAGATTTTGTTTAAAAAGAAAGGATTCTTTATTTTTGACTTTTTCAAAGAAATCTGGTGAATTTCCCCAAATATTTAGCACATTTCAATTTTTTAAATTTAAATAGTTGTGTTCACCCTGCCCCTTCCTCCCTTTTCCCAGTGTGGCTCTGTGATTAGAGCTTAGTGATTTCCATAGAAGGCAGTTTTTGTATTTCAACAACAAGAAATGTTTTCATGGTTTTTGATCAGTAATGTGAGGGTCGCACAGTGGAAAAAACTGACGCCTCATTAAATAATGTTTCCAAAGATATCAGGCGCTACACTGTAGGCAACATTCATTGTGGAGTGGCAAATCATTTTTTTTAAATGTCCTCTTTGATGGTTTGCTGCAAACTATTCTGCAAATAAAAAAAAATCACAAGATTAACACAAGCCACATAACCTTGAGCACAGCCTCATGGGAGAATGTTAGAACTTCTTCAGTGCGTCCAAACACTCGCAGATATGGTTTTAATTGTCTGTGCGCCCGTGCCCAGTAAAGAGGAGCTAATTCTTCCTTCCTCTCTGCATTCCCACAGATTTTTAAAATACTGTCTGAGGGCAGTCCATGCCGTGAACACGCTGTTAGACAGAGCACCTGTCAGAGGCAACAAAGAAACTAAGTTGCCAGAAATGGAAAATCAATGCGTTATAGTGAAACAGAAAGTTTTAATTTCATAATGGCAGTTGTGATAGTGCAGTGCCTAAATGCTCGCCTGCCTGCCCAATGGTCAACCCAGCCTACAAGTGGTACCAGGTAATGACTGGAGAAGTAAAGGCAGCTGGCGTAATGTTGATTACATCACCCACTGAGTTCTGACTGGGCTATTTAATAAATCATATGGCTGATTCATCAGTGGAATAAAAATGGTTCTTCACATATCTGACTTTAGTTAAGTCCATCCTCAATGCACAGCTATTAAGTGCATACAATTTTAGCTCCCCTTCTTAGTATATGCTCAGCTTATATTCACTGTTAACCCTTTCACCCCATAAGAAATTCAAAAGATGAGAATAGAAGAAGCAGAAGAAACAAGTCTTGGGCAGTTTTCATAAACATCCAAGGGGGTTGAATTAGACCACCGAGCAGACAGACAACCATGAGGTCCACAGCTATATCCCATCCGTTAAATCAAATTCATATTATTTATTACATTCACTGCAAACAAAATTTAAAGTAAGGGAATTAATCACTAAATACAAACAGAACTGAGAATTAACTGCTTTCCTTCCCTCTGATCATGAAAACAGGTGTTTTGTCGACTTAGCCATAGGGAACAAAGTGACATTGTCATAGGGTTTTAATGAAGCAACAATGATATATATTTTAAAAGAATTTCACCTCTTATAATACCTCACAACTTTTTTGGGGTTATATATTCATCATATCCACCATGTCTTCACACTATGTAGCTGCAACCAGTACGAACGACATTATTTAGGTATATTGACCACAGCCCAAATTCAGTGTGTCATCAAAAACCCATAAATGTTGGAAAAACGTGTTCTCGAGGTGACAGGATTTACACCATCTTTGTGTTTTCTGCTCTACCTGTTTTGGTCTTTTGCATAGTGCTTTTACCTTACTTCACACATGTTTACTTGATATTCTCCCAGTATGTTCAAGGCTGCTGATTCATAGTCACCTCATTTGTTTAAAAATTCTCCTGCCTGACGTAAGTGCTGCAAAAAGCACAAACTCAAGCACTACGAACCGAATATCATTGCATAAGACTTAACCCTTTCACTCTAGGAATGCTTGAAAAAAACAAAAAGGGCCCTGCCCTCATGGGAATTCTGGGAAAAAAATCCTTCAAAAACAACAATGTTACACTGGTTACAATTAAATGTGTAAAAAATTTATTTATACACATAAAAATTTTTTTTTTTCAAAATCAATAAACATGAGCAAAGAGAAGCACTAAATGGAGTTACTTCCGTGGGGATTCATCAGGTGACTCATACCATGACCACATGAGCTCTATCACTGAGGCGTACAGAAATTATCTGGGCTTTATAAAAATGTTTAGGTTGAAGGAACACACTCCCCCACCCCGATGCTATTTTTAGTTCATATATTCACATCCTGACCTCATAAATATTTGCGTAGGCACAAAAACAGCCAAGAGAATTAACTAGAAATCTTGTAAACTAAACAGGTCACTGTAAATGTAGGACAAGTGAGATTTATTGGGAATTATTCCCCAGCCAGAAATGTCAGTGTTGCTGCTTCTTGCAGCAACAGGGTTCAGAGTTGAACTTTTGTTTTTTAATTAGTCAGCAGAAAAGAAAGGGGAGAGAATAGACCAACTGCATGTTACAAAATGGTTCTGCTAAAATCAGATTTGTTGAGATGAAATGTGCAGATATCACAGCCTAGCTGTAAACCACAACACGCCAACCACTCTTTTAAGTGAAAACACAGAAGAAGAAGACTTTTATTTAACTCTTTGAGTCCCAGGGGGGTTAGCAACACAGGCCCAAGGGCTATCTAGAGAGAAGTAAAATCGGAGCTTCTAGCATTCACTAGGCTTCTAGGTAGGAATCTATGAACGTATGATGCGTTCCTTGGGACTGAAAGAGTTGACATGAAGTTTATTACATTATTTTATGTGAGCCTGCACTTCCTTACCTTCTTGATTACTTCATTTTCATCATCTTCTTGTATCAAGCGATCAAGGATCTGCACCAGAAGTTCCTCCATGTTGTTTGGCAGTTTATCTATTTTATCTTTTAAAGCACGGAAATCTCCAAAGATACGCAACTCTTCTGTCATCATCAGCATCCACAGAGGGTTGTCTACCCCTGTCTTGCAGATCAAACTATTTAGCAGGTCAGGATCTAGTTTCTATATTTAAAAAAACAAAGACAAAGCAAAATGATATGGTTACATGCTGTTAGGCCATTTTGGGGATAAAGTTTAACAAAGACTAAATCAAATTTGTAATAGATATCTGAGTTAAGAGCTATCATCATAGCACTCAGGACTTTCCCATAAGCTGTACATCCATATCTTCGGCAGCTAGAGCAGAGCTCCAGTTCTGCTGGGACCAGTAGCAGTCTGACTATATGTCTGTCTTGCCTTTCTCCTGAGTGTAGACTGTCAGCCAGATCTCTGGTCACTCCCCCCCCCCCCCTCCACCCCTGCCTGCACCATTCTCTTCAGACCATAATTTGTGCTTCTACACTGTTCACTCGCTCCCATATTTAACTGCACTTAATTTAAATATTGTATGGTTCAGTCTCTGCTAAAAGTGTCACACAAAACATGAAGCCAGTTGCTCTAGCAATGACCCTCGTGAATGAAAAAAAAAACTGAAAAAACTTTTAAACGTGAAATACACAATAAATATTTTCACCATATCACCATGAAGACAGTTCTGGGAAGTAAAGGCGGTCAGCATGAGTTTGACCACATAACCTACCAAGTGTCGATTGGTCTATAAAATATAGGTCTAGCCCTATATGCCCAATACGAGAAGGCATGGAGAAGGGTCCTTTACTTTTATTTTACTTTACCATGGAGAGTCTAGGAAAAAAGTACTTGACAAAAATAAAATCTATGCTGCTCTGCACAAGCAGACAAAACAACCATCACACGCAACACATCATTTGGAACAAAAATCACTCAGTCAATCAATTAGGTGCCATCTCCACAATGAAGGTTGGCTGCAATGGATCTCCAACATGCTCTGTCTCTTGTCCTGGTTGCACAATCTCTCAGATTGTTGTTCGCCCATCTCCTGATGTTTTCCTCCCACTTGTATTGTTGTCTACCCTTGCTCTCTTGACCAAGTTTTTCCTCCACTATGTTTTTTTTTTTTAAAGTCTAATGTCTTTTAATGCAGCTGAATATATTCACATCTCCAGATATTCAGTTCTAATTTCTATCTGCTTACTCAGTCTCCAGGTTTTTGCACTGTACAGTACGTCTGAGTATACATAACATCAGGCGACTCTCATTTTAATGTGTTGTTTTTCTCTCTAGCTGTCAATAACTTTGACATCTTGAAGATATTTTAGACACCGTTAAGATAAAGTTAAGTGTTTGATTTCTGCTCCTGAAATGACTAAAACAAAATAAAATACCTTAGAGAAAGCTTGTAAGTATTTTACAGCCACTGCTGCTAGATCTTCTGAAGTCATAGGCTGCAAAGTCATTTTGAAGGCTGGGTGCTCGTAAAGTCTTGCTGTAGTGGGAGGGTGTGGGTTTGTGCTGACCACACAGTGAATGTTATGTGGAAATGTTGGTGGCAGCCATGACAGATGGTCATATATATCATTGTTTTCAAGCTGTGAAATAGATGATAAATGAATTAACTCATTTCACTAATACTTTATATTCAAAGCAAGAAAAAACAAAAAGAGTGTCTTTACAGTTACTCAAAAATGGATATTCTTCAAGTCAGAAAAAAAAAATCTTGCCCTGGCTGGAGGTTGTTTTGGATAGCAAGAACACTACCACTATGCCACTGCCCCTCCTAAACTAGATGAAAAAAGATTTAATGTCAACAATTATTTTGGGAACGTACAATTAAATGTAGCTAATTATGCACACACACACACACAAATTTACGTGCATACACACACTAATTTATATCAGTTTTTAAAAAAATGTAATTACAAACAGGCAAACCTCATTAAGTCCATCAATAAAAATGACCAGTTTTTTATCACTGCTGTTCCTGTATCTAGCCAGGGCTAATTTCAAAAGCTTCTGCAAATCCTCAACACTGTTACTTTCCACATCATCTGTTTTCTTTTCTAGAAGAAAACAGAAATTTTCATTTAGAGATAAACATGGTGGCCACAATTGTAATTCAGGTAAAAAATAGGTCAGTCAGAACCATGGTGGAATAATGGCTGGATGCGCACCTAAATTTGCATCGAGGCAGTGTTTTTTCATAACCGTCTTTGGTTTCCCTGTCAACTGCCTAAAATGGGTACCACACAATGTTCTGGGAAGTAAAGGTGGTCAGCATAACCACATAACCCAATGGACGCAGACTGGTCAGTAAAACAAAAACAAAAATATGAACCTTACATTATATACTCCTCACTAAATCAGTACTAATTTGCAAGTTAAGATCAAAGACAACTGGGCTTAAAGATGCTCCATCTTCCACATGTAGATGCTGTGTATTTCAGTAGCACAATGGTTGTATACATGTTGTACTCTTTCTCTCATATATTCTTTCTTGCTGAATAACACCAAATTCCCACAACTTTCCAGACTTGAAAACTCATCATAGTTGAAACTGCTGTCAAGAATATAGAATACGACAAGAAAACAAGTTTAAAAAGTTTTCTAAAGAGAGAACAGAAACTTACCGAAAATTCACTGGAAAATTGTAAATCTCTTCTCAACTAATGTAACAACAAGCCCATTTTTGTGTGATAAGAGCAATAATGTCACAAAGTTTGCATGTTGATGAACAATCTTTTTCTTCTTCTTCTACTGTCACCCTTAAAATAGCAGTTGGTATATTGTTTTATTGTTTACAGCTAGGCTGTGATATCTGTGCCTTTCGACCAAACACATCTGATTTCAGCAAACCCTTAATTAGCTTTTACAACATACTTGTTAGGGAAGTGGGTGTTGCAGTGGTTCTATTTTTTAGTACCACGGATCAACATCAAGGCACACAGTTGTAACCCATTAGTGCTCTGTTACACTTCTAACTCAAGCCTGAGTCTGAAGAATCTCAGCGCAGTGCATGAACTCTGTTGCACCGGGGAGGATCCTGAAATACTTTTGGGTAGACTTTTAACTCTAAATTTTTGCAAAGGCAGCATCGTAAGCTATTCTTTTTCTATTTCCAACTGCCAAGCTATTTTTTACGTGCGCAACAATACACATGGGCATCTGGTCTTACTACCCAGAGACCAGGGAAAATTACTAGAAGTCCATGTAAAAAATCTCAGCCTTCACCAGGGTTTGAACCCGGGACATTCGGCACTCGAGGTGGATGCCATAACCCGAGACCACCGAGCCCCCGAAGGTTCTCTTTTCTTTATTCCCCTGTAATGCGCCCCTAGAAATCATATAAGAAATTGAAAAATCTAAAATGATAGATAATGCAGACACTCACCATCTTCTTCAGGATTCAGGACAAGAACAAGTTGTCTTAGCAGGGACTCCACATGAACACTGTTTGGGGTGCTGTTTACAATGTGGAAAAATACATAATCTCCACTCTGGAAAAACAACAGTAATAATCATAAAATGCCAAATAATGAGAATATGGAACTCCCAAATAGGCTCTTGGGCTCTCATTGCAGGGTAGGGGCAGACCAACTGCCCCCTTAAGAAAAGCATGTCACAGGTTGTGATTAAGGGGTGCTTCCGTTGAAGCCAGAGTGCATCCGTCTGAAAGGTCAAGAATCTATGTTCCTACAGGCGTACAGGAAAATATTAAGTTAACCCAGCTTTAAAAAAGCTAGTGGATTGATAAAATGAATGTAATGCAAAACTCTAGTTCTGGAATAAGATGAAAGTCCACAAATGAAAAAACAACCAGAACTTTCAAATGGTCTACAGCCAGTAAATGCTAAAAAGAAGAATTCAAAGAAGTCTTATTTCATGTGACATATTGGCATTCAATGAGTTGTATGTTCAGTTGAATGCTAGATTCCACAAGATTGCATTCTCTCATTTACCAATTTAATATCTCTGCAGAAAATGTAATGAGAAACACCAAAAAAAAAAAAAAAAAATGACCAGACATGTGGCAGATTTATCGACTAATTAGTAGAAATCCAACTCCAGATAAACAGATGATACAGTTATCCTCTTAAACAGTGCAAAAAGATCAGAATAGCTAATTTTGTCTGCTAGGACATACAGTGAAGATCAAGTGCTGAACAGAAAAACAACAATTAAGTTTTACCAACATACATGAAAGAATAGTGACAGAAAACAAAGGGTAAGTTAAAATAACAATGTGTGAACGAAGAATTAGGAGTGAATCAGGCAAGGATGAATGAATGAGAAGATGAGATCGACATGTGTATAGTCAGTGGGCTACGGGAAAGTTAGCGTCTACACCTTAAGACATTTGCTGCGAGAGACAGAGCATCTATGGGTATGCCCCTGCCTCCCCCTGTGAATATTATACCATGGCATGATGAGGAATTATGAAACCATTTTACTCTAAGCCACAGACCTAAAGAAACATGGAGAAGGAGAGAAGAAAGGAAAATGAAAGAATGTAAAATTACATAGGTTGCTATAGACAGAAAAGCAGCAGGCCACAGGTCAGTGACAGGCCTTAGGTCAGCGGCAACAGAGATGATTTGTGAATATCTTGTGTGACAATGACACAAAAAAGATATAGATATATAGAAGTCACAGAGCCGGAAAAAAGTAAAGACTCTTTTCATATAACTCATACATCAGACATATGGTGCTAGACTAATATTTGTATAGATCAGTCAACACTTAATGGATGAGGTGGAAGACTTTACTGTTCAGGGCATTTCCTAGTACTTTTAGACTGGATTATTCTGAAAACCCAGGTCATTTATAAAAACATCCTTTGATGTGGATTCAGATGCGAGACCTTTGGGCCAGGTGGCAAAATGAAACTAGGTTGGTTAAAAAATTAACTCCAAAGTCACTTGAAATCTGACATGTGACATTAGGCTCTCTTCAAAAACAAACAAAACACAACAGAGGGTTTCCCATGCCAAAGCTGTCAATCCATTTGCCTTATGCCCTGAAGGTCATGGATTCATTTCACGTCATTTAGTTAACGAGTGTATTTTTTTTTTACAGAGAACCTTAGGGACTGCTGCATGAGGTATTAAGTCTGTGCTTTGTGTGGCGCTCTCAGCTTTCAGTTAGTTATTCTGTTCTGATAAAGAGAACAAGCCAAATGGGATAACCCGGGGAATTGAAGTCGATCTTCTCAACTTTAATTATGATAACAACAAAATAACAGATCTCATGAGTTAATCACTAACCTTGACTGTGTCGACTATAAGTCTACACATCAGCGCTGTTTTCCCCCAACCACTTGATCCCTCTAGGACACAGATGGCATTGTCTGATTCCTCCAACTCCCAGTTTTCTCTCACACCTAAGCAATATTTTAAAAATTGTCATATATTAATATTAAAATTCCCATGTGGGTTTCTAAGCCTATTTTGGTGTGTGTGTGTGGGGGGGGGGGGGGGGGTGAACAGACCTATTGTTCCTTAACAAACATGTCATAAAAGGCAACAAATTAAGGATTGTCTCAAATCAAATGTTGGACAGAGAAAAAGCGTATGAGGAATAGAAAGGAGGTGGGAGGATTAGGGGAAGATGGAGGTGCTGTGGCGTCAATTTGCATAAATCGAACATATATCATTCTAGAAAGGCAAGCTGTAAAAATGTGTCAATACTTCTTTCCTTCTTTTCTCTACTCCTGTCAGGCAGGTAGAGATCTCTGGAACTGTTCTTTCTGTTCGCTTCGTATAAAGTACTTTTCAGTAAGTCTGATATTTCTGTAGTCCATCTTCTGCGTAATCGACCTCTGGATCTGTTACCGCTGTATCTGTATAACACTGCTCTCTGTGGTGCCCTGTCTGATGCCAGTCGTGTTACATGGCCAAACCATTTGATTTGTTGTCTACCTTTAAAGTTCAGTATTGGTTCTGTGCTGACTCCTGATATAATTGTTTTTAAGTAGATCTTTCCTCGTTACACCTAGCATAGTACGTAAACATTTTATTTCTGCCGTGACTATTTTCCTTCTGTCTTCTGAAGACAGTGTCCATGTTTGACATTGATAGCATAGCATTGGTAAGAATACGGTGTTGAACAGTGTCCTTTTAGTGTTCATATTCACATGCTGTGTCAATGTGTCAATACTGCATGTTTAAAAAAATGAAAAGTGTACATAACACTGTAAGCATACTCAGCAATCAAATAATGCCTTTTCTCGTCAGAAAAAACTGTAAGCAGTTATCTTTATAAACAAAAAAATATGCACCAAAATAAGTGTAACAAGCACGTGTGTAACAAGGAGTTCCCCCCAAAAATTTAACAAAAAAAAAGGATGCAAAGGCATCTAGTACTGGGAAATGTGTACCAAGGAGTTTTAAATGTAAACAATTTCAAAAGTGAAATATCCCTCTATTTATAGATCAATCAGCATTCGATGGGATGTTGTAGGCCACATTGTGCCAGTCACCTTTTCTTTCCAGGACACTTCCTGGTACCAATTTTAGATGGGTCAGGGGTATGATAAAATAATACAAGCAATAATATTGCAATAACAAGAGAACCACAGAGACAGTACATACACTGAGCATAAAACATTAACATAAATTCCTGACAACCTGAAGGTTTAAGACAGGTCACCAAGCTGAATGGGAACTGCATGGTTTTTGCTTTCAGCCATTAGTAGTGCATTACAATATGACCAGTCTGGCCTTATGGCCATAGCCAAAAGGCAGAGAAGTGATCTAATAATAGAAATCGTAGTCTACTTACGAACAAAGTTTGATCCATTATCTGCCGCAGCTGGGAAAATTTATTACATAAAGAATGTGATTATACTGTAACAAACAAAATTTACCTATTTGATTACAAAAGTTAAACTCAAAAAAAAAAAAAAAAAAAGCTCATGAAATGAAACAAAAAACATTTACATCAATCAATCAAGTGCAGTCTCCACACAAAGAAGTTGGCTGCAATGGATCTCCAAGGCATCTCTCATTCTAGTCGTATGCTCTTTGAGACTGGTGTTTGTTCATTACTTGATGTAAACCTCCCTTTATATCACTGGCTACCTGCTGCTTTTTCTGCCTTTATTTTCTTGTATGTTTTAATAAGTGTGTTAAGTCTGTTAGTTGTGATTTTTGTGTGTGAAGTGTCTATCATGAACTATCTTTTCATTCTGAGTCTCTCTTTAGAACCTCCCGTATTTTACTGTTTGTTTTTGTTAACCTTTTCTTCAGTACACACACATTATCAAGTTACTTTGATCAATGATCTTTGCAGGTACCAGGTAATGTCCTGGAAAGTAAAGATGGCCAGCATAATATTGAGCACATCACTCACCAAGTGTTAATTGGTCTCTAAAAATATCCAGCATCATTTATCTCTTGCTCCCTTGACATAAAAAGATAAATTAAAATGCAAAATGTATGTATGTGATTACAAAACTAAGGACACAAAACAAACAAAAATGTATGTCAGGAAACTCAGGAGACATAACAAAGTTTACATAGTTAATTACATAGTTAATAAGAACAGCTTTGGCATTGTAACAACCGTATGAAATTTTGTTGTTCTTCTTCTTCACTTCCTCTTTTACCGCTGTGGTTGTCGAGGAAAATATAAGGTTATGTTTCTAGCTCTTCTGGCTGCTTCGACCAAAGGCACATCGTGCTGTTGTAGAGTTTCTGTGATGTTATCCTTCCATCTTGTTCTTGGTCTACCTCGTGCTCTATGTCCTTCTTCTCATTCCATGTATGCTTTGTATGGTATGGTGTCACAAAGCATTCTCTCTAAGTGGGCAAACCATTTCACTTGCTGTCTTCATATGTAATTTAGAATTGGTTCTGTGCCGACTTTTTCTCTTATGATCTCTTTCCCGATCTTATCTCTTATGGTCACTCGTACAGCCCTTCTCAGATATCCCATTTCCATTGTTACTATTTCCATGAAATTTTGTTACACACAGGAAATCTAGTAGGCATTTTATTGTTTGGGTCTAAGCTGAGCTGACTGAATATTCTTATTCCATGGCTCAAGTTTGGAAAAAAATAATAGGGGGGGGGGGGGGGGGGGGGGTAGAACCATGTTGTAAAAGGTGTCTAATCAGACATTTGCTGAAATCAGCTGTGTTGGGCCAAAAGGTACAGATAACAGACATTTTAGCCTAGCTGTGAACCACATTACAACATGCTTACATCTTTTTTTTTTAAAGGATGAATGCATAGAAACAAGAAGAAGAGTTAACAGATACCTGGATGGCTCAACAACATGGCTTGGGTGGTACTTCTTCTTTGTTTACCTGCTGTAAACTCCAGTGGAAAGTCCTGGTTGTTCATCCATTTGGCCTCTGGCTTTGTGCCATGGTCTGAGCTTTGTATGTAAATCCATTTCACTGGCTTTTGTGTGTGCAGTTGGTTGTTTTTTTTTTCCCCTCGGGCAGATGCATTCTAACTTTGAAATAAGACCCCAAATAGTCAAACCCCATGATATGCTTGTTGGGGAGACAGTGGGTTTATCCTTGTTTTCCCCACCATGGGGCCTAGGAACCTACACGTTTGGGTGGGACAAGAACACAAACCTAATTCCCAATTCTGGTTAATGGGTGAGACGGTGAGCCATGAGAGCTTACATTTATCAGCTTGGAACATGATGATGATGATCAGCTAACGATCCACAAGAATCAGAGAGACACCAATACATTTTCGAAACAGTGATATTGAGCACACATATCCCTATTCGCCACTGTGGTATGACAATTCACAAAGTTGTTAAGAATTCAAAACTGAATAAATCAAATTTAATTATAAAATATTACGCATTCACTGCTCATTTATGATATTAATTTTTGAGTACGCTTTAGGTTACCTGTTTGTTCCATAGAAAGTGACATTCCAGTTTTCACAAAATCCTTTAATATTTCCAGCTCTGTCACTCGCCCAATGAGATCTTTGGCCTTGTCAAGGGCAAATAACCACTGTGAATCTTTCTCTAAAAATATTAAATTAAAAATATAAGTTAAGAATCTTTTTCATGCTTAGATGCATCAGGCATATGATGCTACTTCATATTTTTATAGAAAAATCTGCACTCAATAGGTGATCTGGTCAACAACATGCTGGCCACCTTTACTTCTCAGAACTTTTCACGGTACTCATTTGTGGCTGGGCTGACCCAGGAGCTATGGTAAATATGAAGTAACTATGCATGTCTTTCAATTAGAATGTTTAAAGTGTGAAGGTTACAACGATGACGAGGCTGTGAATCAGACAAAAGAACAGATGCAGTCACAAGACTGTGTGTGCTATTTCATTAAGATTACTTTAACCCGTTTGCTCCACGAATGCTAAAAGAAATGGTTATTTAACCGTGGGAATTTAAGAAAAACATTATTTAAAAAATTAAAACTAAAAATATATAAAGATAAATAAAGGAAGTTATCAATAAACAAGAAGAGATTGAAGCATTAAATGAAATACATTTACCAGGGTCTAAAACAGAAATGTGTTGGACGACTCGTGCTGTAACCCTGTTTAATTTATGTTCGTACAGGCATACACGAAAATATTAAGTTAACACAGCTTTAAAAAAGCTATTTGATTTACAAGGAAAACCCTCTAAATGCTTTATTTAGGTTATATGTTCACATCTAGGCCTCCTTAACAGGTGCACACAGAACCAATGGTGTTTAACTATGCTTTTTGAGTATAGGCGACTGCAAAAATGGTGATATATTAGCATTAACAGGGCTGTGTCATAACTGGAAGTGACTAGATTTAACCTTCTAGGAACAATAGGGTTAAGAGGAGTAGGAGTTTCAGACCCCAGGTAAAGTAAAGAACCCTTTTCCGTGCCCTTTGGCTTTCATGGTACAATTTATTATGTTTTATATGTGTGACCTATGTTTCTCCCACAGATGCGCAGATGGTCAGCTCACCACTAGATAGGAAAGACTGCCAAAGTGGATACTGCCTTTGGGATGTGAAGTGACAGGCTTTGAGATATTCTAAACCAATACATATGAGACGGGATGGTCAGTTTGCTTCTTCATCATCTACCCTTCCTAGAACATTCTGGAAATTTTACAGTTATTCTATATCACATCATGCTTTTACCAATTTATTATGAATTAATTAAGTAACAGAAAGTGTATTGATCGGCACTCAGAAAGATAGAAGAACACACTAGACAACATAAAAATCGAAAGCAATAGTTACCGTGCCGGGAATTGAACCTGTCACCTCCAGACGGTGTCTGCGCCTTGCCATGAATACAAGTGCACTAAGAAACATGATCAACTAGGCACCCCCATTATGTTGTCTAGTGTGTTCTTCTATCTTTCTACTTCTTTCTAAGACTGCTGATCAATACACTTTCTGTTACTTGATTATTTCATAATATTTAACGGCCTCAAAGGTTCCCCCTCTGTTTATTTTACCAATATAATATTTTAATTAATAATATAGTATAATATTTTAGTGGAAGAAATCATCATTGTGAATTTCAGCAGCATAGTGGTTAGATGCTCCCCTGCTGGCCCAAAGTTTGTTTATCCTTCTGGACTTTGGCTTTGTACCATTGCCTGAGTTTTGCATGCACATCCATTTTACTGGCTTATTTGTGTGCAGTTGGTTGTTCCTTGCCGCTCAGGCAGATGTACTCTGACTTTGAAGGAAGCCCCTAATAAGACAACTCCTACGACATGCTTTTGCATGGTCTGAATCTTCATCATGGTGGATTAATGTTTTACAACTGGCACCGACTCCTATTCCGACCTAACCTAAATGGGTACCAGGTGATTTGCTGAGAAGTAAAACTGACAGGGTTCTTCAAGAAAATCATCAGTACGTGTCAGAAACATATTGTTAAAATAACAGATATCTCACCCTGAGACTGTAAATCTTTCTCAGTTTCAGTGTGTGGTGAGTAGGGATATGTTCGCTCAATAGCACCTTTAAGAAAACTGGTGACCTTCTCTGCAAACTCATCTAGATCTGTTAGCTCAACCTGAAATGAAATGAATGCGAACAAATAAAATGTGTTTAAAACTAATTAAATTATTAATGGACAGGCAAGAGGCAGGCAGTCAGGTAAATAGGTAGGAAGGTGTTTAGTGTGCTTGTAGGTAAAGTAAAGAAAAACAACAAACCAAGCTAACAACCACCCAGCAATACATCAATAAAGCAACCAGCCACCCAAGCAATAAATCAATGAAGCAACCAGCCACTCAAGCAAAAAATCAATGAAGCAACCAGCCACTCAGGCAATAAATCAATGAAGCAACCAGCCACTCAAGCAATAAATCAATGAAACAGCCAGCCACCCAAGTAATCAATCAATGAAACAACTAGAAGCTACCAACCACAAAGCAATCAATCAACAAACAAACCATAACCTCATTAAGGATGATATAAGTAGGAGTGACTGTAGCTCAGCTGATATCAAGAAGTTCTAAGTATAACATGGACCGTGACTAAATAGTTCAGAGGATTTAACTGAAAAGACACACACAAATGTATTTATTCAACTTGTTTACATTTCTTCCCATTTTTTTCAACATCATTTTTTTTGGTTTTGTTCCATAAGATAGATCTTTATATCCAACTTTCTCCTATTGTGTATTTCTAGTTTCATGCTGACCTTGGTTCTTCACAAGCTCTGTTGTTTTTTTGTTTTTTTGTTTGTCTGTCAAGTTTTCTAATCACAGTCTGTGTTGTATTTAACACTCTGTTGCTAAAACTTGGGTTCAATTGTTTTGGTTTTTTGTGTGCGCATTTTTTCCATTTCCTACAATGAGCATTGAAGTCACAGTGTGTCTTGTATTTTGTACTTCAGGATGTTAGTTGCTGATTGCATTATTGACAACAAAATCATATATGTACTAAATGGCAGAAACTTCTGAGGCAGAGAACAGACAGCAAACATCAAAAAGACACAATCAAGAGACTAAACAGAACAATATTTTGACTAAGAATAGGACACCACAGACTTAACGCACACATGCACAGAAAGAAGGTTGCACAGTCCACCAAATGTTTCTGCCAAACCACACTGCAAACACCTAAGCACATACTGCAAAACTGCACCCTTCAGCAAAACTTGTTACAAAACATGTCAGAGGGAAGTGGCATCCAGGATAAACTTTGGGCAACCCTACTAGCCTTGCTGCTGACGTGCTGGTTCATGGAAGCAACACAAATGACAGCCTGAGCATTTGAAACTGATCACAAATAAGATGAAATGGAAGTTGAAAACACACTGAACACATTCAGAATGGTCTACCTGCTCTCTTCCAGTACTGACAGATACTTGTTTAAATTTGCATGAGTATGGGAACACTTGATTTGGGAATCTTTCTTGAATCTTCTTTTTCATTGTCTGCAAATAGAGGGCAAGAAAGGACACCAAAATCATGGAAGAAATTAAATAAGTTAATAGAAGTCATCACTGCTAGCCTGTTGTGCCACTATATGTCACACAGGGCTTGCAATTTATTCTTTCACTCTATCATGTGAGTTTGTTTCATTATCATGAACGTAATCTAGTCTAGAACCTTTGGCTTCTTTCACCAACGTTCATCTTAGGATTTTTTTTGGGAGTTCTTACTTCCTCAATCCAATTGTTTCCAGTTTCTGTGCCTGTTTGGTGGTTCAATGGAAATAGTAAGCATTTTTTTTTTAAAATCCTCCTGTGTCTCCTCCTCATCAACCTGTTTTCTTCTTCTGCTGCTTCTTCATCTTCTTGTGACCATGATAATGGTGATAGTGATGATAGTGATACAACTTTTGTTGAAAAATGAAGTCTGAATGAAGAGGGCAGAAACAAAGGACCGCACAGTTTATTGCCTGACATATTTTGCTGTATATTGTCAGGTGCATACTGCAGCAACAATTGAATATATTGAAGCAAGTAAATGGACCCTTCTAAATAAAAGACAAATTGAATAATAATTATAATGGAGTTGAACTCACAGAACTTGGGACATCCTCACACACAGTCAACCCTCATCCTCAACAGTGAGTGAAGAGTTCCAGTTCCAACTGTACCAGAAGCAGTTTGATTATAGTATGTTTGATTCATATTCTTTTTTAGAGTTGTGGGCATTTGCCAGATCCCCAGTCACTCTCTGCTGGACCATTCTTTACACACAGTAATGATCTATTTGTGTTTCTGTATTGTTCACTTGTCCACTCAGTGGTGCAGCACCAGCCAGTCAGTCTAACTGTTCATTTACCAGCCCACCTGCATACCCTCGAGAAAATATCCAAATAATGCTAACAACCAGGAACCACTGACGTGATGCTTGCCATTCTGCACAAAACATACCTTTCCCCACATTTCTCAGCAAGATTTGTGTATCTGTAACAATCATGACATGTGTGTTCAGCTGGTTCTCAAACCAGTAAAATGCTGCTGTGAAATTATAAGGGAAGTGGCAGGTTGTGTGCTGATGAAGGCAGTTTTGTAAATACCTTAAGATGAAGTCTTGCTAGAGGTTCTTTGTCTTGAAACCTGGAATGAAATGATTCTGGTATGCCATCCAAAACTGCTCGATTTCGAAAGAAAAATGCAGCATTCGGATTTTTATCCCTGATGGCAAAAGAGATTGAAAACATTTAGTAAATAGAAAAACCATCCTTCAATGCATCTGACAACTTTATGTCATTACAGCCTCACATCTTTACAAGTGATAGACATTTGCTTTTATTCATGATCATAGTCCTATAACACAGGCGTAGTTTTGTCACCAGTTGCTGTTGAGTCTCTGATCAGCGGTCTCCATCTTAACTGGTCAGATGCAATGGACAATGGTAAACACTTTACAAGTGAAAGATTCAATGTCAATGCACTAGGTTTAATGCCATCTGCATCGGATTCTATCCATACAGTGGCTGCCTGCCTACCCATATTCTCTGTAAACGGTAAATAAAAAATGTAAAGGAACTTTTTCCACTCCTTTAGGCGTATAGGGCATATAGGGCTAGCTTATATTTTTTTAGACCAATCCGCACAAGATAGATGATATGGTCAGCATCACACCAGCCACCTACTTCCCAGGACTGCACCTGGTATCCACTCAAGGCTGGGTCAACCTGGGAGCCAAGGTCATTTTTGAAAAAAGTCTGGCTCCGCCAGGGAGCGAACCCATGATCTTTCGATCCACAGTAAATGTCTAGCCGCTCCATCACAGTGACTTCCATGTAAACGGTAAATACTGAGTGGTATGTACCAAACCAGGTATCCTATTTGTGCTTTGGGTGAAGGTTCACATTAGGGATGATACTAGCCTTATTTTAGGAAAAGGAAATTTAACCTGAAAACTTAATGCTTTGGCAGAGAAGATGAGACCAATATCCTTGGTTAGTAGCCGGTCTAGCAGGGAAGCTCAGACAGGCAGACAGAAAAAAGCACTTCTCTTCTGATCCAACAGCTTCTGCAGCATGCTTTATTTTAAATGCCTTAGTGTTGCCATTTCTTTGGAGTTAACAAAGAAAGGGATTATGCTGCATGGGCAACACGATGGTCTCTACAATAATGCTCAGGCTTTGTAGGCTTTGTACTATGGAGATGGTAAACTTCTGGCCTTAACTAGTATAGCCATGTGCTATAATTCCTGTGTCTACCTGTAGCACAATGGAACACTATCGTCTGGAGAGACAGAAAGGTGCCACCAACAACACCCTTCCCAAAGTAAGAAATTTACTGCTTCGGTAACAACCCTCAGGGATCAGTGAAGAAATCACAAATTGAACTAGATTTCACAGCCCGAAAAGGGGGGAAAATGTATCTTTGAAGCAATTAAACTGCTTAGTTACATATGCTATTCAGGACATCACAAACCAACACCAGCATTTGTGTGTGTGTGTGTGTGTGTGTCTGGTTTTCCTAGGCAGTTTCTTCTTTGTCTTTTTCTTTTTCATATGCCCTTAAAAGGGCATTAACATGTGATATTGCGGTTTACAGTGAGGCTATTGTAGTTTATAGCAAGGTCACTGTGGTTTACAGCAAAGCTATCATAGTTTATAGCAAGGTCACTGTGGTTTACAGTGAGGCTATTGCAGTTTATAGCAAGGTCATTGTGGTTTACAGTAAAGCTATTGTAGTTTACAGCACAGCAATTGCAGTTTATAGCAAGGCTATTGTAGTTAACAGGAAGGCTATTGTAGTTTATAGCAATGTCATTGTGGTTTACAGCTGGGCAATTGGAGTTTATAGCAAGGTTACTGTGGTTTAAAGCAAGGCAATTGTAGTTTATAGCAAGGTTACTGTGGTTTACAGCAAGGCAATTGTAGTTTATAGCAAGGTCACTGTGGTTTACAGCAAGGCTATTGTAGTTTACAGCAAAGCAATGTAGTTTATAGCAAGGTTATTGTGGTTTACAGCAGGGCAATTGTACTTTACAGTAAGGTCACTGTGGTTTACAGCAAGGCTATTGTAGTTTATAGCAAGGTCATTGTGGTTTAAAGCAAGGCTATCATAGTTTATAGCAAGGTTATTGTGGTTTACAGCAAGGCTATCATAGTTTACAGCAAGGTCACTGTGGTTTACAGCAAGGCTATCATAGTTTATAGCAAGGTCACTGTGGTTTACAGCAAGGCTATTGCAGTTTACAGCAAGGTTATTGTGGTTTACAGCAAGGCAATCGTAGTTTATAGCAAGGTCATTGTGGTTTACAGCAAGGCTTTCATAGTTTATAGCAAGGTTATTGTGGTTTACAGCATGGCTATCATAGTTTATAGCAAGGTTATTGTGGTTTTCAGCAAGGCTATCATGGTTTATAGCAAGGTCATTGTGGTTTACAGCAAGGCAATTGTAGTTTATAGCAAGGTCAATGTGGTTTACAGCAAGGCAATTGTAGTTTATAGCAAGGTTATTGTGGTTTACAGCAAGGCAATTGAAGTTTACAGCAAGGCAGTTGTGGTTTCTAGCAAGGGATATTTGCATATTTCAACCCAATACATTTAATTTTAGCAAAGCCCTAATTTGCTTTCTTTCACTGCATGCTTTTTAGCGGGGCAGTCAGCCTATTCTTTTTTCGATCAAGCTGTGTGATTGTTTTTGTTTGTCTACAGATTGGAAGGTCATGGGTTCAGGTCCTGAACAAGCCAGACCTTTTTTCAAAAATGACCTTGGCTCCAAGGTCAATCCAGCCCTAAATGGGTACCAGGCAAAATCCTTGGAAGTAAAGGTGGCTGGCATGATCTTGACGACATCACCCAGCGGGTGCCAATTGGTCTATAAAATATTGGTCTAGCCCTATTAGCCATCATGCCTAAACCTATGGAAAAGGGTCCTTTACTTTTTGCTTTACTCTTTTTTAACCAAACTGGGGACCAAAAAGCAATATGTGGAGCAGGCAATTTTATATTCAATAGTCTACCTTTTTTTTTTTAATAGTACGATGCTCATACTATTGGTGAAATCAATGTTAAGCAGCCATATGCAGTTGACTTTGAACCTTGGTATGTGAAGATTGTGAAACTGCATTCACAACCAGTAAGCCAAACCTGCCCCTGCATACAGTTCAACACAAATAAAGTAAGTGGTCTGCAGAAAAATGTAAAGAGTTTGATATCACACACATCACATCATGTAGCAGGTCCTTTGCAGAACGTCACTCTCATCATGGGCTGCCTGAAAGAAACTCGGTCTCTCGACAGCTCTTCCGCCTCATGTACTTTCATATTCAAGTAATCACTGATATTCTGTGCCCATCATCATGTTTATCAGCCCCTGTCCCTCCTTCCTGGTACCATGCTTTCTGATATTATTTTTCTTTCCAATCCGCCATGGCACTTGATATGGCCAGAATATTTCAGCTTCTGAGACAAGAAGCTGTTCATTCTTTGCACTTCTATGGCTATGATAACGTTCACAAAAAATAAACTCAAATTTAGAATGCAATCTTTTTTCTAGTGATTCCCCTATCTGTAAATTATAAGTTCTTCAGTGTGACTATAAAAAAAGTATGGGATCTATGTATGACCTTCAAAAACTAACGTAGTTTGCATGTCTTATATAATAATAAAAAAAAAAAAACACTATTTAAATCTGAGTTTAATTATCCTAATCACATGTGGTACTGTAAAAGAGTGTTTGGATTTTTAAAAGGCAGCCACGGTAGTACAATTGCTATGCTCATCTACGTCCAAAGATCTTGGGTTCAAATCGGCATCAAGCAGGATCTTTTTAGACTGACATTGGTTTCTGTGATACCATTCACAAAAATTAAACTCAACTTTAGAATGCAATATTTGTTGTTATTGTTATGTTTGTAAATTATAATAAATTCTTCAGTAGGACCTAACAAGTGTGCAATCTATGGCAGACCTTTAAACATTAAAAAGTGGTCAGCAGATCTTAGCCAGCTGAAAGTAATGGAGGACTACACTGCATGCCCTATGTGGTTCAAAATGCACAACAAGATGATGATGATGATGGAGTTATATTTTTAAATGCACAAACGTAGAAAGTTTAATGGAATGGGAGCATAAGGTTTAAAAACAAAAATAATAAAACAGAAGGTTCCTGATCACCTGTAAGCTCCTTGCAAAACTTCCATAAACGTAATTGAAGACCCTTCTATCCAGCCATATTTTTCTCTTGCTTCATCAGGTGTTTCCTCGACTGAAGGGATCCATCCATATCTGGAAAGTTAATTAAAAGTACAACAAATGTAAGGAAGAAAGGGCAAAAGGAGGGAGAAAAGGAACGTGAAGATAATAAAAGAAAGGCAGAAGTAGAGTGAAAAAAGCGAAGGTTAGAGTGGGGAAAAGGGGGGGGGGGGGGGGGGGGGAGAGGAGATTTTGAAAAAAAAAATAAAGGCAGGGGAAGGAAAAAAAGAAGGAAGGTATGGGAAGAGAGGAACAGAGTGGAGGAAAGTGAAGTAAGGAATGGGAAGAAGGAAGGAAGGGGGGAAAAAAAGACCAAAAATGAACGAAGAGGAAGCGAAAGGAAAGAAAGGGGTAAGCAAGCAAGCAAGGAAGTAATAAACTGGATATTTCATCTGTTGCTAAGCTAGACAATTATCACAAGCATAATCATTATTATTATCGACATCATCATCATAATTAACATCATCACCACCATTAACATAGGCAATTATGCTACAACATCGCCAGAATCTCAGATCAGTCAGCGTCCCTGCCTCTATCTACCAGTTAACAATGCAAAATCTGAAAACTGACTTAAACATGGACTCACAAAATAAGAAAGAGATAAGCTGGATCACACCCACCCACCCCCACTCCCCTTCTCCCTCATCTAGGTTTTTTGCTGAGTTCATGTCTTTACACACAAGTTAGTGCAAATAAACCAAACACCAGCCAGCAATAGACTTAGGAAAGCTACTTTTCACAAGCAAATAAATGGTTTTTTTTTAAAAACAATTTCAATCTGTTCATGTGGAGGTAAAAGATTTTTGTATTGAGACAGTGACCTGGACACAACAGACTTCACAGCCATATGATCAGCAAATTCCTGATTGGGGACTCCGAATTTTGCCCACGTGAACAAGCATCACTAAAAATGTGCTGCACATGTGCACTCTGCATGCAGTAGGGAGATCCCAGTTACTGACCATTTGGTATTTTGGTGGAAACAAAGCTGTATGGATTAGTGAAGTCTTCACTAGTCTTCATAGAGACCCTTGGTCTTATCTGAAAACTAATAAAATAGAAAATGAAAAGAAGAGAAAAGAGAAGAGAAGAACATAACCAAGGAACAATGTTAATATATCTAATCTGAGACAGCGATACCTTCTTTACCTCTCTCCTACAAGATTGATAAAAAATGGCTGCCCTTTATTAACTTCACAGCATTTTTCAATTTCATCTAGACACACAAGAATTGTGTCTGAAGATGAGGTGTCTGTTGGAATACCCCAGCGAAGGTCACATTCTATAAGTTTTTGTCCACGTTCTTGACACCATTCTTTTAGTTCAGGAAAAACCTTTTAAAAGAAACACAAACAACAGTCAACAATGAATGAATTAAGAATCAACATCACTGCAATTGGGACATTCCAACAGGTGTTCTATACCCAACAATGTGTTCCCATACTGATGGTGCCAGCTAGATCCTGACTTAAAATGTGGCTGTCTTTTTCTCTGTACACTGCAAACCATTAGGACCTTTCTCTGCTCCCTGGTCAGTAAGCCTTTCGAGGTATAAATACTCTGTTCTGCTGCACTTTTCACTTGATCCCATCAAAAGTAAACAGACATTTACCAAGGCAAGATTATGATTAACAGTCAACATCACTGCATTCAAGACACAACTGGGAACAGGAAATATTTATGAGTTTTAGCGATAGTGAACAATTGTTTCACAAAGCAATCCTTGGCATTTACCATTCCTGCAGTGGGCAGTTTTGAAAAAAAAAAGTTTTTGTGGCTTTTAGACAATGGTTTGAGATCACACCATAAAAGAGATTCTGGCCTCACCACATAATATACCCGTAGTTTTCTGTGGATACAACTAACTCCCATTGAGGTGACAGCATTTTTAAAACTACATTATGGCATTACAATATTATGTTAACACATGAAACAAAAACAAGCAATGAGTAGAATGAAACAAGGCATATAAACATGTGGTTCAGAGAAGATGAGTTAAGTACCACATATTTGTTTTTTGTTCAAGCAATGTTTTAACAAGTTTTATACTGTATTGTGTAGTGCCTGTTCACAGCATAACTGTGATATTTGTGTCTTTTGGTGGACATCTCCTCCTTTTTCAGGCATTTATTGACTGGCTTGGACTTGCCAGATGTACCATATATTCAGTATTCTTCTACTTGACATATTTTCATTGTAAAAAAAAGAGCACAAAAGTTAACAACATACAAACTGGCAAATTTTTATTTGTCCTATACAGTCTAGACAGTGAAGAAGATGAGCCAAATAAAAATTTAAAACAAAACAAAATGTGCAAACCTTTTTCACAAGAACTTCCCTTTCATTAAAGAAATCTGTAAATGTTGATGAAACAAAAACATGCACAGTATTGGACTCCATCGCTGTTTCTGATCTTGAAGAAGTATTTACATTTGTTGGGTTACTTTCTTTGTCCTGGCACTGCTTTTCAATTTCAGACCAAACTTTCTTTACTTCACTTTGCATGCTGTTGTCAAATTCATCATCACTATGATCACTCTCAATGCCAGTCTGGGTTTCTTCCTTTGAATTATCAATCTAATGAAAGTTTTAAAAAAAAATATTTAAAAAATTTGTTAAACTCTCTTAATCCAAAGATTATTGTGCAAAGTGCTAATGATAGACCTGCAGTCTTCACTGATGCTGAACAGTTAGGAAAAGTTAGCAATTTTACAAATTTGGGATTCTCAGTCAATAACAAACTACCACAGGACCAAGAAAGCAACATCAAGATAGATATCCCTGTGTGTGTTTAGGGGCCCCGCTGTGAAGGAACAAGACAGCAGCATCAAGATAGATATTCCTGTGTGTGTTTAGGGGCCCCGCTGTGAAGGAACAAGAAAGCAACATCAAGATAGATATCCCTGTGTGTGTTTAGGGGCCCCGCTGTGAAGGAACAAGAATAGATTCACTGCCCCCTAAAATGAATGTCATAGTAGATGACTAATTACAGGTGTAATTGTTTCCTACAAAATCAGAGTGCACCTGCTAAGAGGCAAGGAACCAACAGTCTGCATACAAATAAGCCAGATTTGTAAAATGAATGCATTTGCAACACTAGATTCTAAAAAAAAAAGCAAAAGTCCAGAAATGGATGAACAGTCAGGATTTTCAATTGAGTTTTAAGCTTGTGAATCAACAAGAAGACAGATAATGTAGCATCAACAATGAAAGAATTTATAAAAAGAATTTAAAAAAGAGATAAGGAGAACAGAAAGCTGAAAGTTAAAACAAAAAACAGTTGTTTATCAAGTCTGCGTTTTCAGCACTGTACAGAAGTGAAACATGGTAGACTTTTTCTTACCAGGAGAAACAGCTAAACAGCTTTCATATGTGATGCCTACGAAGAATACTTGGCATTACATGGGAAGACAAGATCACAAACACTGAGGCACTGGAAAGAGCTAGGATATACTTGGAGGATGGATGAAGCTAGAATCTATAAGGACATCCTCTGTGGTGAAATAAGATGTCAAGGTGTACCTCTACAAAGATATAATGATGTGTGTAAGTAGGACATGAATGATACAGGTACTGGGGAGGGGGGGAGATTTGTAGGAACAAGATGCTATAGATCATGTTGCAAGGAAGGGGAAATTAGGAAGGACAGTGTAAAGTGGTCACAATGTGTCCCAGTTTCTTTCTTCTCATAGCATGAACACAAGATGAATCTGTCTCTTTCTGATGTTGTAAAAAACTGTCTTTGAGACTCACCTTTTTAAAAGCACCTGGGTTGCTCTTTTTGGCTGTCCATGGAATTCTAAGAATTTTTTGTTCAACCACATCTTCAAGGCCTCACAAAACTGTTTGGCTTGGTTATTAATTGTCTATGATTCACTGCCATATGTTGAAACTGGCTCTATACAATGTGTAAGAATTCAGTTTATAACCTCCAGTGACATGGATTTAAAATGATCAGTCTCTCCAAATAATGATAATATGTAAAATATTGATGGGTCATGATGATGACGATTACACTTACATTACAAGCCGCTTGTGCCTGTTTGTAGGCCCGGAACATGTTGTAGATACAAGTTGTATTTACAACACACAAAAACTGGGTGGTGAGCAGCTCAGTTGTCTCAAATCTCTGGTAACTGGGTATTGGGGAGGGGGGGAATAGAATGTTAGTATTTAATTGTGCTGGGTATCCATGTATATGGATGCTTTTATATATTCAGACTGATATTAACAGAAAAATCAGTATCAAGAATAGCCTTATATTTTTCTTTGTTCATGGGCTGTCTCTCCAGGGGAAAGTCCTGGTTGTTTGTCCATTTGGATTTTGGCTTTGTGCCAGGGCTTAACTTTTGTGTATACATTCATTTAACTGGCTTATTTGTGTGCAGTTGGTTTTTGCTTGCCTCTTAGGCAGATGAACTCCGACTTTGAAGGAAGCCTCCAATTAGTCGATTCCTACAACGCACTTGTTGAGGAGACAGTTGGTCTATTTTTGTTTTCTCCAAAATGATTTCATGGAACCCACACAGGAAGAACAGCCTTGAAAAATGAAGATTAACTTATGCAGTACAAGAAAGATCCTTTCATTTCCCTCTTACAGCAGAAAACAGAAGTAATGGTAATTACAAAGAAAATATGCTCCCAAAATGCAAATTAAATTAAACTGGTCAAGTCTGAAGGAAGCTGATATGTTCAAGTATGCAGGTATCCTGAAAACAGTAGATGGAAAATTTATTAAAGAAGGTTAAATAAAGAATAGCTCATGCTAAGGCTGCAATTCACAGAATAAAAAATAATTTTGTGCAGTTTTTTTATTTTTATCATGTAAGGTGAGGAAAACAGTTTTTGAGAGCTAAATAGTGTCAATCCTGATATATGAAAGTGAATCATGAACAGCTAGCTGATTAGTGAAAAACTGTGTGGAAGTTGCAGAGATGTGGTTTTACAGACGAATCATCAGAACATCATCATCGTGCAGCAAGTCTTTATTGTTTTTATTACAGCCTTCTTGAAAGAAAATCTCCCATCCCATGCACTTTCCTACTCAAGGTGTTTTGTTTTTCTTGCTTCCAAGATAAGTTTCTTGAGAAAATAATGTGATAGTTTCCCCTTGCTTTACACATCCATATGGCTTTACACTAGCTCTCTATAACACTCCTGCTAATAGCAGCGTGCACCCCAGTTGTGCCATGTATCACGGTGAATACTGGTCCCTATAGCTATGTTGGCCACACCGCAGTGTGTTCATTATCATCTACTGGGTTGATGAGAACATTGATTTTAAAAATGAAGATGTCTCAAAAGAGATTAACTCACAAAATCAACTGATTATCCACATCAGAAGGAGACAGAGTACATTCTTTGGCCATGCCATGAGAAAGAGGAAACTGGAGTCCATCATGACAGTGGGAAAATAAGAATGGAGAAGAAGCACAGGTGGACCAAGCAAGAAGATGCTGGACTGTATGACAATATTGTAAAAAAAATCCTCTGAGTATAAAATAACTGAAAGTAAATGGACATAACTCTGTGCATGGACTATATTAAGAGAAGAGTGCAGAATCCGAAAAGTCAGGTAAGAAGTACGATAACATGCATGTTATGATTCTGAAACATTTCTACAGTTTATATTCATTTATACATATTGCAGTATCAGTATTGGTGCCAAGACTATACACAAATATTCAATTCTCTGTGTAACAGAACATGACTTGAACTCACTTTGTTATAAAATAATTGGTCTAGGAGACTGAAGTATCATCTGTTAATAAATAGAAAGTTCTAAGTACAATAACAGAGATATGGTATTTAGTATTCAAAATTCCCTGTGTAGGTTACATGGCCCCATCAGGTCGTAGGGAAAAAAGGGTGGGGGTGGGGGGAGAGGAGGTAAACCATCTGCCTCCAACAAGCATGGTGTAAAAGGCAACTAATCAGGGGTGCATCAGTTTCAGTGACGAGTGTGCAACAGTCTGCATACAAATAAGCCATATCTGTAAAAATAAAATGGATGTGAAATAGAAAAAGAAGATGTTTTCACAATTATTTATTAGCAATAAGTTACTTGTATATACATCAGTCCTCCTTTCGAACAGCGTAAAGGGAATTGAAACTTTAATATTGTCTGTCCAAAAGCACAGTGAAGATCAAAATCTGTTCTTGAATTTAAAGAAAATGAAAATAATGTCCACAGATAAAACTGACTGTCACCCAAAAATAACAATAAATGATGAAGAAATTGAAAATGTCACAAACTTTGAATATCTAGGCTCTATTATAAACAACAATAGAGACTGTTCGACATAAATTAAAAGAAGAATGGCCATAGCAATTCAAGGATTGAACAGCCTTAAAAGTCTATGGTTAAGCACCAGCAAGGAGATAAAAATTAGAATTTTGAGAGCATGCATCTTGCCTGTGGCTACATATGGATGTGAGTCGTGGACTATCTCTCAGTCCTTAAGACAGATAATAGGGGCTTTTGAGCTGAAATGTTATAGAAAGATTCTCAGAATATCTTGGACAAAGAAGAGGATAGATATTGACATCTTAAAAGATCTGAACATCAAGAAAAATTGGCTAATAAACAGCATCCTTTCTCGGAAGCTGAAATATTTTGGTCATATCAAGTGCCACGATGGATTGGAGAAAATTATAGCAGAAGGCATGGTACCAGGAAGGAGGGGCAGGGGACGACCGACACGAAGATGGGCACAGGACAGAAGTGACTCCTTGAGTATAAAAATTGAAAGTACATGAGGCGGGAAAACTAAAGAGAGACCAAGTATCTTTCAGGCAGACTGTGATGAGAGCGACGTTCTGCAAAGGACCTGCTGTATGATGATGTTAATGATGATATGCATCTTCACTTTTTATTATTTTTGACTATATTTAAAAAGCATGATGTTCATGATCATTTCAGTTCAGTCACATACAGTCATAAATAAAATAAATAGTCACCGTAATGCCAAGCCGTTACTCCCAGTTTACTCACAAAGCACATGCAAATATTTACTCGCAGAACAAGTAAGTGGACGTATAGTAAAATGCGGTTAATAATTGTAATACATACTATTCTATACACTTCCTTAAGATTTGCTACCTAAAGCAAACAGTTGTCTCCCGTAGTTAATGGAACTCTTTATTTTGTTTACATAATGTAGCGTCCTTAACACCGGAACAGAAAAGACCACGTGACCAGCTCATTTGCATGATGGCAGACCCACGAGAAATTAGTTGGATTATCTTCACAGCACTCTGACCACATCCATGGGTGCTCAGATCCCAATCTCAACATATTCATCAGGCGTCACGACACTGAAGAATGTGAGATTATGCGCTTTAGACGCTAATATCCATTACTCACCTCGATGGATATCTGTAAGGCTGCAGACCTTCATATCATCCTCTGCCCTACCCAGCCATGATTTGCCCCCTTTTAGTTTATTATTTTCCTGAAGAGCATGTTCCCTAATGCAAAGGGTGCTTCAGATCTGATTTATCGTGAGGTATGCACGAGCCTTCCATATCTTGAACCTGTAGTTCATGGTAGGAAAGTCAAGAAGGTACCTCATTGCTACACAAGAGGTGTCTCCAGCGCACCCCAGAGTATTGCGCATAGCCTGGTTTTGCACCTTCTCAAGTCTTTCAATCTAATATGGCTGACAGTGAGAATGACTGGAGCATATTCAATGGGAGAGAGTACAAGTCCCTGGAACAGAAGTAGAAGCAGTCTCTGCTCAGTATTAGCGACGGCCAGGACCCTCATTGCTGACATGGCTTTGTGTTCTTTTGTTAAAACATGGTCAACATGTTCTTTGAAGGGCAGGCTGCGATCAAACCTCACTCCGAAGTATCTCATCAGATTTGTTCTTGTCAAAATGTCCTCCCAGTTTTCCACTGCTGAAAAGTATGCCTTACTATGGTTTGATTTTATTTAAGAACTGACATCACAGCACTCGGGGCATTCATTCCCCATCGTCAGCAGAAAGTTCCGATACTAATTGTGCCAGTAGCATTCTGATTAAACGTCCGTCTTGCCTTTCCTCTGAGCCTCGAGCAACTGCCAGAACCTCTCGTAACCCCCCCCCCCCCGCATCAATCTCATCAGACTGTGGTGATCAATCTGCTCCTCCGAACTGTACATGCTCTCTCACAAGGCACTAACCACGTATGCCTTATCATGCATCAGTATTCCATCGAACTGTGCAGGGTCAGCCAGTCTGTCTGCCTGTTCATTTCTCAACACACTGGAGTACCCTGGTGCAAAAATCCAGACAATACTCCTCACCTGTATCCTCCGCAGCGAGGCAAGCCACTCTGCACGAAGCATGCCTGTCTTGATCTTCCTCAGCATGCTTTCTGAGTCAGTTACAATAACTATGTTTGTGTGTGTCGTGTTCTCTAGCCAGCGGCAAGCAGCAGTGATCGCCTCCACCAACATTCTTAAGCTGGATGTTGTGGTATCATATGTTAGGCTCTCCTTTACCAAACGTCGACCATTAACTTTTGCTAAGAAACCCCAAGCACTTCCTTTGCCTCTTGACACTGAACCGTCTGTGTAAATGGTCAACTCTTCTAAGCGCACATTATCTTGAAATAATTGCTGAATTTCCACCTCTGTGGCACCTTCTGGCCAGTCTCTGCATTCCCGGATCAGTGTGATTATGAGCCTACACAAGTCGGGCTGTTCAGGTGGCACTTTGACCCACTCCTCTCCTCGCCTAATGTTCTCAAGGATGCAAACCTGTCTGATTGTGTCTTCTGCCTGAGCCATCCATAACTTCCCTTTTATCAGCCGCTGACCCTTAATTGCACCCAGAGCTTAGTGCAAAGGGTGGTCTGTGTTTGCAGCTACCCTGAGATATGACTTCGCCTGCAGCACTTTGTGCCTACCTGCAACAGTCGGGAAACCAAAGACATACACGGTGTCTCTGGTGCAACCCAGAATGACCCGCATAGCTGCGTTCTGTATGCGCTCTAGTTTGTCCATCTGACTCTTTGAGACGGTAAGCATTCCCAGGCCATAATCAACCACTGACAGGATCAGGTGCTGATATA